GAGAAAGTGTAGTATCCGTCAAAAGCAAAAAATACCGAAGAATGAGCTTGTGATTCTGATCAGATGCTTCATAAAATACTTAAGTAGTAACATAACATTGTAGATGAGTAACGTACAACTATACGCGCAGAAGTGGCGAAAGATTGGTGATGCATTAAAGAAGCATTTCTCCTTCTAACCTTCGGGCGCTAGATGCCGTATACTTTGCCTTTAGGGTCAACCCTTGACATTCATTGTGATATTTTCGGCCCATCGGATGCAAGTAATTAACTAATGGTGCAACAGTTTAGAATGGCTATATAAACAAATGTAGTGCCACACATGCATCTCTTTGTCCTATGGTGTTCAATTTCAATTGCCCAGCCTAACACCATGCCGTCTGCTCAACACTGATACGTCCAGCTAATTCTCCACCATTGCAAGCTTTCACCCTACGTCTGCCACCTCCGCCTGCAGCATTATTCCTGCATGAATAATTGGATTCACTAACGCCTCCTTTATTCAAAAAACCGGAGAGTACAACGGCCTCAGTGTGAAATAATTTTGAGGAGATTAAGAGGAAAAATACTCAGCAGGGCTTATCTAGTAGCATTGCTTTGCAAATTGACCATGTTCCAATGACGTACATATTTAACCAGACCGAAGGGCTACCCATGGAGGAAGGTCCTTCCTCCATGGGCTACCCAAACAGCATGAATACATTACGTTAAGCGTTTTGATGTGCCATGACATCTTCACGGCTTCCGTGGGTAGTTCGCTAAAAACAAAATACTCAATCGGTAGGACCCGAACGGTCCTCGGCCAATGTACGATTTTGAGATTAATGTTCACAGAGGTAAAAGCACGCCGTCCGCCTAAAATCAATCGAAACACTCAAGCAGACGTATCTTAAACACCACGACCACCGCGTGATGGTGCATTTAATTAAAGCTCTGACTGCCTTCAGCTGCCGTGCGACTCGACTACACGACGCGTACTCATATTACTCCGCGGCAGTAAAAGTAAGATTGGATGCTATGCGAAATGCACCTTATGCGAGGTGGTTGCTGATCAGACCTGCACATACGGCATTGCGCTGAACAGATAATGACGGCCAGTCCATTTAGTGCACAAACGCAAACGTTCCGGTCGTGTATTACGTTGTATACCCTACTGGCGTCGATTAGAGCTAACTTGCTATCTGCGGTAGCTAGCAGTCTTCGCACCGTCTAGCTGGTAACAACACAACAGGACGTCAAGGCATCTTGCGGGAAAAAAGAAAACATGGCGACTAATGTAGCGAACACCGAGCACGTAAGTGGTGGAGGTACGGACGAGCCAGATCAGACAGCGACTGATGCAGTCAAAGGTACTGAGCCTGAGATGAGAGCCGTGGTCCTCCAGTCCTTTGGGGGCGTGAACCGACTGAAGGTGATGAAGAAGTCCATCCCTGTGCCGAAGGATGGGGAGGTGCTGGTTCGAGTCAAGGCTTGGTGAGTTAAGATTTCAGTCTGGGGTTGGCTATAGCTGGCTAACAAGTAGCAGCTTCCTCAGAACTTACGCCCGAAGTGTAAAAGTTTTGGTATGAAGCGTGCGTGGAGTCATTCATAAAATGGTTAAATTGTTTTTGGTTAACGAGTTTTTAAAGTCTGTAAGATTCTTCAAAATTATACACACAATCGTATCGATGTTCCCAATCACGAAGCACAACCTTTTCATGTGTTGCTCCGATTACAACGGGTTTTGTAGTCATGGAACCTATTATGTGCTAATTGTCACTTCAGACAACCTCGAGAGCTCGCAAAATTTATTTCTAAGCTAAAGTCAAATTTTCAGAAATTGCAATAAAACCTCTGCCCTACTGCATTACAATTTTTTCTTAACATTGCCGTGGTATTCAAAGTGTAGTGGCTGGCAATGCTACATGTAATCTATTACTTGCATGCCAGAAACAGATGCAGTAGTGATAACTTCATCATAACGTATCATGCATGTAAAGAGAAATGAAGTTAATTATCTTTATATGAACAGTTTAAACAATCCTTGGCCTATCATTTGCGACAGGATCTTCCTTTGTGTGTGGCCACAACGCCATACTGGTTAGAGTAATACAAATCTCTTAGAGACGTGGTTCTGGTAAAGATAAGTGCCAGGCGAGCCAGCATTTTAACGTGCCAAAAACTTTGCATGTTCTGTATGTACATGTAGGTCGACATATACCCCCAATGATTCAATCAATCTAGCCCTAGCTTGCACTAGTGCTTGTATTAATATTACTGTCATGTTCTAGTCACGTTACATGATATTTGCATGACATTAGAATGGTGCTCGACTTTTATCCGAACTTGAGGTCTAGTGATTGTTAAATAATAATAGACATGGAAATATCAATAATTCAAACCGGCAATATCAAGGCTGGTAATATCAGATTGCGACATTATTAAGGCACACGTGTCGACATACGGCAACTCTAACATGAAATGCAAACAATTTTAAAAAGTTGATCATACTTGGAGAAAGTTTCTACACCACGGATCTGACTTACTTAAGACAAAATGCAAGGATCATTCTATAAATTTGGGGTCCACGTTTTCCCGTTCCTTTTACATCGGGCGTATGATTTGTTAATGCTTTGAACTCATTCTTGAATTTCCAAGATTGAATAACGACTGCAAACTACCTACCGAACAAATAAAAATGTTTTTTCAGTGATACATACCGTGTCAAAGTATACATGTCAGGTGTAACAGGGACAGGAAAATGTCACACGAAGGACCCCAAATTCATAGAATGACGCAGTAGTGAATTGAAGAGGTAAACTAATTTCATATAGAGATTTTAATGAATACACAAGAAAAAATTATGTTCAAGGGATTTGGGAACAAACAATGGCTACTTGCATTGTTTGGCATGCACAAGGGTTTATCCACTACGAACACAGGGCGAGGGTTCCCCTCGTTTTCTCTGAATGACGCAATCTACATTCAGAATTCGTATCTTGGCATGAACAGAAAAAAGCCCTTTTTAGCTTGTTGTAGTTGAGCTCTGAGGACAAATGACACTGCGTTCGATTTGGATGCTTCCATATTTATTTGAACAGATAAAATCAGAGAAAACATGTTTTCCTTAGAGGTGCTCTTTAAATCACTGCTGGCGGTTTGGAAGGATAACCTGATTGCCAAACAGTGCTGAGAGGTTAATTTTACATGAACCATTTTTATGAACTGCATTTCTTCTAATACAGAGCACCTGCGACCTCATTTCACCACCAATCCCTTTTTTGCCTGAAATCTAAAGGCTCTATTTTAAAGAGTGCTCTTAATGTTTGACTAACATTCTGCCTTGCACCCTGGAATCTATACGAGTATAATAGCTACCTGTATATACACAACTCTCAATGAGCTTAATTTGTTAGGTTGGTAAATTCAATTATGACATGTTCTGACAGACATACGAGGTAAACTTCTGTCTTATAATAGGGATTGGCATTCTGAGTGTTTACGCTGTAGGTATACAGTGAAGACCAGCGTCGCACAGATTAAAATTTCCATTACAAGGCTAATTGATGTTATTTACTTGTACATGTATGAGCCACATGAACTCTGCCACGTGTAGTCGTTCCTTTTTGCTGATTAATTCCACAGAATTAATCAATTATGGCTAGCAGTTGCTTCGGTTTAGACTCCCAATACTTATTACTGCCTTGCGATGTGCTCATCTTATTTCTGGAACTCTTTTTTCATTTAATATATGTGAAAAAAACACCATCAACTCTGTAAATGAGCACCATGACAATGGTCTTGGTAATGAAACATCTCAATCCAAACTTCTGAAGACTTATAAAACGTATACAGAATTCCCAAAGTAAAACAAAAGAGTCACAATGAAATCTGATATTGGTACATGTACATGACTTTTGGCATGATATATGTAGAGTAAAAAAGCTCACCATATGGTCGAGAGGCTACACTAGAAGGTTTACAGTCCGAACTTCATTATGCCCTCTCTAGTGACGCAATGTTAGTGGCAACGTGAGTTATTAGCCATTTCTTTTCCACATGACTTGAAACTTGTTTTGATTTGAGGATTTGCGGACGGAGTGCACCAAGACAATAATCCAGATTAGATGACTCCTACAATTACAAATGTCAACTGAGAGATGTAGAACCTGTAGAGGAACTTCTAAGAGCACACTGAGCAAAAATCTGTTATTTACAAAATAAAACCTACAAGTATCAGCCAGATGAAACCTATCAGTCAGATGGAATCTGGTTTCACTAACGAAAGCTGGGCTGTAGTGATATCAATGAACATTTCTTTAGGTTGACCAACAATGCACCCAATACATGTACATTGGACATCATCTTACACAATGTATGTGCAAAGAAATTCTTTCAAATCTTTGGCTTTCTAGTATTGTGGTTTCAATTAATAAAAGTCCATACAAATGTTAATACCCATATTCAATCAACACATTTTTGGTCTTTCTTCTTATTTTTTGGAAATACATGCCTTCAAAATATTAAAAACTTGTTAATACGGGCATTTCACAATAGTGCAGCTCCAAGAGTTGGCAATGCGATGACCAATCACAGTGCGCGAAATCTGTCAACCCCATGCGTGTTGAAAAACAGTGGACAGATACTGCACCATGTGATTGGTCAACGCGTTACAAACTCTTGGAGGCGCACTATTGTAAATTGCCCGTATTAAAACATCAATTTGCTTGCTCACCCATTTAAGAAAATTAATAATTAATTTTTGCATCTGTGCCTGTTACATGTATTTGCGAGCTACATGTATTTGTTTACAAAAGTATACCAGAAAACTAACTTAGATTCAAGTAGCTCTAGAAGGTTTGCATGGTGGAATACGATAAGGTAGAGGGTTTGTGGATACACCATGACCTGGACATGCACTGATGCAAAACCTCGGACGAGGAGAGGTCCATCACAAGTTAACTAAACGTGCATGCCTACATGTAGATATCTGTACCAGTAACAATTTTTATCTTCATCACTCATCCGTGACATATCCAATCTTAAGCTTGTCACTCCACCCATTAAAAGTCCCAAAACAATTCATGCTTGACAGTTCAACGGCAGATAAAGTTCAAAGTGCATCAAATCTGCAATCACATCTGCAGGCATGCAAGTAGACTCGAGAACTAACAGACAGGAGAACCAGTTCAATCCAAAGTGAAATAAGATATTTCACAAACCAAGAATTCAAGCAACAACCACAAAACAATAAATATTACTTTGCCATGTTTCAACGAAATTTATACACATGTAGCACTGTCAACACTGACCATTACACACACCCAGCAAACAAATGATCCTTCAAACATTCATCAAATAAGAGTTATATCCACCTGACCAACCAACTTACGAAGCACTGCATAACTGACTTGTCTACTGAAATGACCAAACCCCCTTGAATTACCTATATACAGTGCAGATGTAACCATGTATTCAGCTCGCCTATCCATCATGCCACACGTACATGTACGTACACAACAAATACCTATGAGTCTACTATTCTAACAAATAAATAAAACATCCATGACAGAGCAGAAAATCTGCCAACCCACTTATCAATAATTGATTAGCTCATACATGTAGGTTACTCGTCACTGAGTTGTCATGCTTGTTCAAAACAAGCTCTAAACTACAGAAAATCTATGCTTGAACAGTACTGTGCATAATATAGAATAATGAACAGTAAATTTTATATACATTAAATGGGTAATCTTTTAAGAGCAAACTGCAGACTGGCACTTTGGGATTTATGTATGTACATTTAGATTCTTTGGAGGACCCTGGAATCTACCGGGAAATCCTACACTTTGTAACATCATAAATCTTTATTACATTGTGACAGAAACAGCCACCAGCAACTATAGTCTATATTACAGTATTTGATGTTGAAGATTCATGCGGCATATAGCTGACTACGAACATGTACACATGCACCATTAGGATGATTAAAGAGATGTCCTATAACAAAGTGTAGAGTCTGACAGAACAGTGCAAATAAAGGTCACTGAGTAATTTTACAATGACTTTTATGTATAAGATGTAAGCATGTCTGTGTTATGTAAGAATGAACCAATCTAGACACTGCAACCGATTACAGGTGTTTACAACATCTACACGTACACTGTAGACTGGTAGATGATTGTCACTTTTCTCAGTTAAAACTAACTATTTTCTCATTTTATCCGGGGAAATGTTCATTAAACAGCCACAATATGGCACTCAGAAATAAAGTGCAATCTAAAAGTTAATGCAAAGCAGACAAAACAAAAACAAAGAGGTTGTTGTGCGCTGTTCCATTGAACTGGGAGACGAGCACTGTGTACAATGCTTCATATTTTGACAAACACTACTGACCTCATAATGAGCTCCTTCGATCTCTCTTAAAATCTCTGTGAAAATTAACACAAACATCCCATCCATGCAGATGGGGTTTTCTTCTTGTAAATGTCACATTATTCTAATGTGCCACTACTATAGAGAGATCACTCCTCTTGTTGACATGGCAACCATTCTCACTGGAGTGATTATCATCTTGGCACAGCTACTGACCTCTGAGCATGTATGTGTACATGCACGAGGACCTGGGTGAAGTGGGAGATTGGTGGGTGCACAGATAGCATACATGTATGTACAAATAATCCTTAGTAGAAAAACAAATGATTGTCGGAGATAACTCCAGATGAGATAGACGAGTAACCATTTCGCACATTGTAATCAAGTACGGTATGCATACATGTACATGTAAATAATGCATGCATTCATCACTTGTGTTATGACATCTTGCAACAGGAACATTACACAACTCTGTCATTTTATGCACCAAACTGTTGTATTATATTCCTACTATTGCTTTATTATTGGAATTTCCTATCACAATATACCGTAATTAAGTAAAGTACATGTACTGTATGCACATCTATTAGTGTCTCTGTAAACTTTTGCCCATCAAACACCTCTGATATCATCTTAACTCCTGAGTGATTTTTCGAGTAACATCCTTTTAGTCGGACCACATTTTCAGCTGAATTTACAATACTTCTCAAATTTAACACCCCAGAATTTTTTCAAAGAGACCTGATTACTAGTGTATAACAGAGTCACTGCAATACAACCTCTGTGAACAATGTTTAACACCCACATTGACTTCAAAATCAACCAACAATGGTAGACTGCAAGAGCACTTGATACAGAATTGCAATACGTTCCAATCATGCTGAGTTAGGGAAGGGTTTGCGTAGAAATTTAAGCAAACAGTTAAGTCTGTGCTGTCTCCGATTTTGGGGGGGGTTCAATGTGAAGGCAACATATCTGCATAAAGAAAAAGCCACACACTAATAATCAAGCTGCAGTTTTACCAAATATATTTGCATGTAGATGGAATTTATAAAAATAAGAGCATAGTTGTAACATTTTAATAAATTATAAGGACATGAATATGAAATCCTAAAATAATTTAAATAAAGTTTTAGTTCAATTTTTTTTTTACTTGTGGTGGAACTGACAATTCTATCA